TCAAGAAAGTGCTCTTTTGGGTTAGTGCTCCCCAAAACTTTGGAAGACACTTCGTCGCCACTTCCTACAACAAAATGTTCCGTGGTCATATAAGTGAACTCCTAACTTCAGCCTGGATCAAACATTACCTAACCCTAACCCCAGGCGCGGATCCAGGGGGGCCGAGCTGGCCTGGCCCCCCCCCCCCGCAAAAAAAAAGAAAAAAGGAGAGAGAGAGAGAAGGAAAGAAGGGAAAGGGAAAGAGGAGAGAAAGGGAAAAAAGAAGAGGAAGAAGAAAAGAAAAGAGGGAAGAAGTAGATGGGGGGGGGAAGGACTTGCCTCCCAGGCTGTTGGCCCCCCCCCCCCAATCAAAAAATAAAAGAGAAGGAAGGAAAGGGAAAGAAAAAAGGAAAAGAGGAGATACAAGAAAGGAAAAAAGAGGAAGAAGAAAAGAAAAAAAAGGGGATAACGACACAACAAATCGTCTTCTTTCTCTAATGATTTAATGAAACGTAAGCTTCCGCTTAGCGCGGGAGGGGGAAAACTCAATTCAGACGAGGATTATTTTTTGGGAACGGTACAACAAATCGTCTTCTTTCTCTAATAATTTATTGAAATGTCAAAGCTTCCGCGTTTCGCGGAGGAGGGAGGGGGAAACTCGCCCCTCCCTGCACCCACCCACCCCCAATTACGTCAATGCTGGTCACCATTACGAACCAATATTTGGCTCGCATAATTTCAAATTTTGCCCCCCCCCCCCAAGAAATCCTGGATCCGCGCCTGATGTATATACAACGGCAACAGTTTCAATATAAAATGTAAGTTCTTCTTACTTAAATCATTGGTCTGGAAACAATTATTTGCCCATTGTTGTGTATTGTATTACATTTTCACTGACAATGAATTCACATTGTAATGCAATTTTCAAGTTTCCCAGGCTTATTTAGGAGAACAGAAGATTGATATTGTTTAGTTGTACGATAACATCACTCAGTTTGATTTGATTTGATTGGAGATATATCTCATTAAAAACAGAGTAAAGGCTATACACCATTAAACTTCAAGCTCACTCACACATGATTTATTGCGACACTTTCAAGGCTACTTATTATTTCAAGTTCATGTATATACAAAGGGCAGCAGCTTGAATATTAAACGTAATTAAATCAATGGTCTGGAAAATGTTAATGCCCATTGTTGTATATTATACAACATTTTCCATAACGATGAATATACATTGTATGATGCAATTTTCAGGAAAACCATACTTGTTATTACTGTTATATTTGTTATATGATACTAAAGCAAATCGTTTCGCTTATCGATAAGATAAATCAATGTGAAGTACGTGTCAAATAATGAAATCATTACGTGCTATTTTTAACCGGACTAGACATTTGAAACGTATAAAAAATGTATACACTATTGACAGCAAGCAAGTTTTTTAAACAAAGAATTCAGAAATTGAACAACAATGCACATTTTAGTCTACACGGCATGCTCTACACCCTTAGTTGGACTGTAAACAGTTGTCTTCTTAAGTCTTCCATATAAATATAAATTTAAAGGAGGTCAATAATCATTATGAAAACACCACTTTCGTAAGGTTGACACATCAATATATATTGTGCGCACATGTAATCAGGGGCGTACGCAGGGGGGGGGGGGGTTGGGGTTCAAACCCCCCCCCCCCCTTTGGTATTTTTATGTGTGTAAACCCCCCTAAAAAAAAACTAAACCCCCCCTTTGGTTTTTTGTTTTTAAATAAAAAAAATTTAAAAAAATTATGCCCACGGCTAACGTAAAGTGACCTTAACACCCCCCCCCCCCCCCCCCCAACGAAAAAATGTCAAATTTTAAAATTTCGAGACCAAAAAAAAAAAAAAAAAGTGTCCGCAAAATGTAATTTTGTAACACAACAAAACTTCAAAAACCTGTGAGGGGTTTACATATAAGACTTATCATACAGCTTTATGGGGGTAGTCCCTTCCGTCACCTCCGCCTCTTTCACTGGCGTACTGATGGGGGGGGCAGTACCCCCCCCCCCAATACAATTTAAACATGGGTTATTTTTAATTTGATACCAGTGATTTACAAGTATTGCTAAAATGGCAGTATTTTTCCATGAGCTCCCGGGGGCTCTACCCCCTGGAACCCACCAAGGGCCCTAAGGCGGGCCCTGTTTGCTCATCTGGCCGTAATTAAATGCCTAAAGTCCTTGAGCTTTCGGGGGCTCTGCCCTCTGGACTCAACCAAGGGGCCTAAGGCGGGTCCCTAGATGCGTAATTTGGTGCCTAAAAGCATTTCCGTTATGTATTTCTTATGTATTTCTTTGTCTTTCTTTCTCCATATCCTCTGCACTCTCCTTATGTATTTTTTTGTTGTCCCTTTTCTATTACCTTCTCTTCCCTGGGTATACGTGCTTGCACATGAACTATATATGGCTAAACAGTTTTGTAAAAAAAAATATGCGCGAACGGTCAAGGAGTAAGAAGAAGGCAAAAAGAGAACAAAGACGGCATCCATGGAAGCCTTGTGAGAGTGTCCACTTTTTTTCGCTTTTACTTTCACCCTTGCATTCTTTCCTGAATCAGAGTTTTCTCACACCTTGTAGACTCGTGCAGGTTATGATCTTGTGTGTGTGTGTGCGTGTGTGTGCGTGTGTGTGTTTGTGTGTGTGCGTGTGTTTGTGTGTGTTCGTGTAACGAAATAACGTATATATTACAATAGCTTGGCAATTCTCATGGTTATGAGATACAATGTGAAAGGAAATGAGAGAATAATGGTCGCGTAGCTTAAATCAAAGTTCCCCATTGCAGTCCTCTCTTTTTGGATATTTTTGCATTTTGTTTTTGTAAGAGGTGTAGCGCCAGAAGAAAGAAGAGGAAGAAGAAAAGAAACGGGTGGAGAAGGAGATCGGGGGGGGGGGGGGGGAGGGCGAAAGGACCTTGCCTTCCAGGCTGTTGCACCCCCCCCCCCTCCAATAAAAAAAAAAGAGAGAAGGAAGGAAAGGGAAAGGGTAAGAGGAGATAAAAGGAAGGAAAAAGAAGAAAAGAAAAGAAAGGGGATATCATTTGCAATTTTCCCGCCGGTGGATCGAGGAGGGGCAAAAGGCCCTTACCTCCCCCCCACCCCCCCCCCAAGAGAGAAAGAAGGAAAAGGGAAAGAGGAGAGCTAAAAGGGAACAAAAAAGAGGAAGAAGAAAAGAAAAGGGTGAAAAGAACGGGAGATCAGTTCTGGTTAATCCCGCCAACAACGTGTGGATCGGGGTGGGGGCCGAAAGGCCCTTGCCCCCCCCCCCCCACCCCCACCCCCACCTCGGCAAACCTTAAGGAGGAGAGAAAGGGAAAGAAGAAAAAAGAGAAAGAAGAAAAGGGGGGGCACTGGCGTACTAATAGGGGGGGCTTGGGGGAATTCAAATTCAAACGTGGTTTATTTCTAATTCCATAACGGTGGCTTACAAATAATGCTGAATTCTTTCCGAGATTTTTCCTCAGTTTTTAGTAAATTATACTTTTGCATGCGTTTGTTGGAAAATGACAAATTCCTAAATTTACAGCCAGGCAAGAAATATGATTCTTGAGAAAAATTAGGGCCCGGGGATCGGCTGGAATCGCAAGCCTCGAGCTCCCCCACCCCCTCCACTTTTTTTTGAAAAGGTATAGTAAAGAGAAATAGAAATAAAGAGAGCAAGAAAGAAAGAATAGTTAACTAGCTGGTCATCTGACCGAAATTAAACGCCTAAAAAACCCTGAGCTTCCGGGGTTCCGTCCCTTGCACCCCGCCTAGGGCCCTAGACTCCCCTGGATGCTAATCTGACGGAAATGTAATGCCTAAAACCCCTGTTTTCTGGGGGCTTCGCCCGCTGGACCTCACGCCAATTAGTGTCCTGCCAATGTCACAAATAAGGTATAAAAATATGTTCATCTGACCGTAATCAAATGCCTAAAACCCCTGAGCTTCTCGGGTCGGACAAGGTATCAAAATTTGTTTATCTGACCGCAGGCGCGTAGCCAGGGGGGGGGGGGGGGGGATAGAAGAAAAAAATAGAGAGGAGAGGAAAGGAAGAGGACGTAGGGAGAAAAAGGAGCAGACAAAAAACATCTTTGAAATTCAGACAAGAATTAAGAGTAAAGAGAACGGTACAACGAATCGTCTTCTATCTCTAATAATTTAATGAAACGTCAAAGCTTCCGCGCTTAGCGGAGGTGGGGGGCTGAATTAAGACAAGGATTAAGAGTCGAGAACGATACAACGAATCGTTTTCTTTCTCCAATGATTTAATGAAACGTAAAAGCTTCCGCGCTTCGCGCGAGACGGGGGGGGGGGGGGGGGAGGGGGGGGCTGAATTAAGACAAGGATTAAGAGTCGAGAACGGTACAACGAATCGTTTTCTTTCGTCAATGATTTAATGAAACGTAAAAGTTTCCGCGCTTTGCGCGGGAGGGGAAAATTGCATTAAAACGAGGATAATTTTCGAGAACGCTATAACGAATCGTCTTCTTTCAATAATAGTTTAATGAAACGTCAAAGCTTCCGCGCTGCGCGGAGAGGGGGGGGGGGGCTGAATTAAGAGAAGGATTAAGAGTCGAGAACGGTACAACGAATTGTCTTCTTTCTCTAATACTTTAATAAAACGTCATATATAGCTTCCGCGCTTTGCAGAGGAGGGAGGGGGGAAACTCGCCCCTCCCTACATCCCCCTGCATTACGTCACTGCTGGTCACCATTACGTACCAATATTTGGCTCGCATAATTTCAAATTTGGGCCCCCCCCCCCTAAGAAATCCTGGATCCACGCCTGCCTAACCCTGATATGCTGCTAATTTAATTAAACCAGACGCTGGATATAAAATCACCTCGTCAAACGAAGAAAAACTGTCCTCTTACTACTTTAGCCCTGTGTCGGTTTTAAATTTTTACGGACCAAATAAAGCACGGAGAAATTTTGTTACCGGAGTAATAATTTGTCGTCCGAGCAAAATTTGGATCTCCATCAACAAGGGACCCGATATACGTACCCGACAGTGACGAACCCTTCGCCGTAGTAGACGAGCACGGAACAAAACGGCGATACGGGGCACACCGCGAGAATGATCATGGCGAGGGCATCGAAGACTTTCATGTCGAGGACGAGGGCGAGGAGGTAACCGACCAGGGGCTGGATAAAGTACTGGAGTCCTAGACCGATCATCACACTCTGCGGAAGATGCATTTCTTTACGGGAGAAGTCGTCCATTGAGATGAAACAACCCATGCCGAACATGGCTATGGCTGCCCCGCAGTAGCTCACTAACACAATGGACAGGACCAACCAATCGCTCTAAGAGAGAGAGAGAGAGAGAAGCCATTTTACGAAAGTGAAAGTGGTCCATACAATTTTATCTCACTCATAAATATACCGAAAACGCGATCGATGCTCTTGGGGTCATTTTTCGAAAGTAGTTGCGATCACGTTCACAGTGAAAAATAAAAGAGAAGAAACCTTTTGCTCTGAACTGCTTTTCATCTTCCTTCTGGTTCCACCGGATTAATTGAAAACACTTAAACTTGCCGTCGATTTTTTTTTTTTTTTTTTTTGGGGGGGGGGGGGTTAAATCTTCACTATGATTATAGGTCGTTTAAGAATCCTGATTAAAGTAAGTTTGAAAGAGTGTTCCATTATTACGCTCAATTCCATTGTGAATGTGACATAACAATTGGATCCTGACGTCGACATCCCCCCTCTGGCATGATTTTTATTTTCTACACGAATATGATGGGCTTATTAGTCAAGAGCATAAGGTAGTCAAGAGAATATCTGAGTTATGATTAAGGTAGGGTAGATCTACACTCTTCTCCAGGGTTTGGGTCCATGATTTAATAAGGGTAAGTTTAGGCTTGCTATAATGAGGTCCGAATTTAACTTTTATCTAAATTAGCCCAAATCGTATGTAAAGGACAAAATGCTGCTCCCCCCGGCCCCTCACATTATTTTTTTAATAAACATAATGATGTTGGGTACAGAGAAGATTAAGATTGGGGGTAAGGATATAATCAAGTAGGGTTTGATAGGGGTAAGGTCTGGCTCGCTATAATGCGATCTGAGTTTATTAGGCTCGTTCGCATACTTACTCGAGGTGGGGCACCATTTGGAAGCATATTCTCAAGCGATGTGACGTTGTCGAATCCGACGTCGTGAACGTTCCCGTCGATGATCCCCATTATTGGTATGATCTTAGTTGACGATTAGGTGGATGAATAGACCGGGTAACTCAATCGGAAAATTATTGGTCCAAGGTATATACCAGCCTTTTTATAATCTATATGAATAAGATAAAGATATAAATTCAAATTATTTATTCAAATGTTTTTGCTATCCTCACTTTCATTACCATCATCATCGTCGTCGTCGTCATCATCATCATTATTTCTATTATTATTATCATTATCATCATTATTAGTAATAGAAGTAGTAGTATATTATTATTATTGTTATTATCGTTGTTGTCGTTGTTGTCGTTGTTGTTAATATTATCATTATTATTTTAATTATTATTATTATTTCCGCTATTATTATTATTATCATTATCATCATAATCAACAACAACATCATCATTAGAAGTAGCAGCAGCATCAGCAGTATTATTATTATTATTAGTAGTAGTAGTAGTAGTAGTAGTAGTAGTAGTCAGTGGCGGATCCAGGGGCGGGCCCGGCTCCCCCCCCCCTCCCCTGGGGAAAAAACGTGTATAAACACGTTAATTTTACCTTTTCTTAGAGATGCCCCCCCCCCTTGGCGCTCAAGCGGGGGGGGGGGGGTGCGATTTTTCAAATTTTCAAGGGCCCCCCAAAAAAATTAGTGCTCACTAGCTCTACCCAAGTTAGCCGGATTATATTATTAGCATTCTAACATTCCTGCCCAGTCTAAAAAAAAATTGCTTTCCAATGCCTTACTCCTATTTACTATTATTTTGTGACTCGACGCAAACTCGTCAAATTATTTAGTGCCAAGTTTGTATTGATATATTTAAGATTCGGTAATTGAAATAGATTTTTAAATTCAATTATTATAAATGTGATTTATGTTAGATCAGCGTGTTCTGTTTTATAACAGACATGTATCAAATCAACAAAGATTATTTACGCCTATAGACAACGGCTTTCAAACGGGTCATCATCCGAAAGATGCTTCTGAGATTCGAACCCATGTCGTTTTGTAGGCAGACCAGAGTATCGTCCACTTAACTTACTCATAGTTTGATCTATATTTTCTGTAATGCTTATCTAAATTGTTTCAAATCAATAATAACTATTATAGCCTATATACATTCATCTAAAATGGTCACTTTACTCATATTTTTTTTCCTGTTGTTGAATAACTTAAATGAACAATCTGAAGTTACTCAATAAACATCTTCAATAACAAAAAATCCTTCCTTTTTAAAATCTTATTACATCAAGAAGCAAGGATTCTGTAACTAAATGAGGGGTACATAGTTTCAAAAATCTCTGACAAGCAATTCAAAAGAAAGGGTTCATACATTTTCAGTAGCATACCTGTGTAGTCTCTGGCATGAGAGAGAGAAAGGGGGGTGGGATGGACAGAAAGAGTGGGAGAGATGGAGAAGAAGAAAAAGGGGGAGTGTGAGAGAGAGAAAGATGGAGAGAGAGAGAGAGAGAAAGAGAGAGAGATTGAGAGAGGGGGTATATGGCGAGGGGGTGGAGACACATGCCCCCTATGGCCCTGGAATCCATGACTGATAACAATACAGGAAGAAACGTATATACCTTCCCGCACATGCCGCAGGTGACTATATGCTAGCATAATCGTATTCCGATCACTATTCGACATGAACAGTGCCAACGTTGCACAAGTGGATTTTGACATGAATTTTTTAAATCTACATTATTTTCCTAGACATCCAAAACGGAAGAAATAGAAATATTGAATAATTGGGAAGCAAAACCATGCTCTCTCCTTAACAATACATTATGCTGAAAGCAGCCAGAGAGATGGAAGGAAAGCGACGAATCCCAGCATCGTAATTAACATTATTCTGTAGCTATGGATGGGATGTAGCATGCCAATCGATGTTTTAGCATTCTATATTATACTTCCCTATGACCCGAGGCAGCGCATGGCCAATTTCACATCGAGGAGAAAATGTCGATACTTGCTTATCTTTAAAGAATAATTATTTACATTTTTTACATTTATTAGTATTTCACCATGGTTGCTCATTCAACAAAAGTTAGTCGTCCATGCTACACATGAAGAAGACGAAAATGCGCTCGGTGGGGGGGGGGGGGGGGGGGGGGGGGGGGGGGTAGTGAGCACATTTTTTTTTTGGGGGGGGCCTCGAAAATTGAGCGTCAGAGGGGGCCCCATCTCCCCCAAAAAGGTAAAATTGACGTGTTTTTACACGTTTTTTCCCCCAAGGGGAGGGGGGCCCGCCCCCTCCTTGGATCCGCCACTGCACCTTGCTAATACATGGGAATCTCCATCAGGCCGCTGTACAGAGTGACAAACATTCAGTCACAATATCTATATAGTTTATGTGGGAGTATCTTCAACTAAACAAACATTCAGTCACAATACCTATAGTTAACGAGGGGCCCGGAATATCGTCAACTAATTGACATTGTATGTCAGGACGACACCTTGCTAATACCGATAGCGTGTTTTTAACTGATTTCTGTTTAATGTGACAGGCATTTCACGCCACTATTTATTTCGCCGACCCCCAAATTTTTGTTTAATATGATGCTTTACATGTATACATTTCAATATCTATATGGCATCCCTAAAATGATTATGATCCTTGCAGAACGATGTAAAACGCTTTTTTCTGATAAGGCTGTTAAATCTTGTGATAGATGGAAAATATACGTGTAGATGGCTATATATACAATATTTTAAGTATTGCTTCAGGTATAATACAGGTAGGTTCCATTAACTTTGCTGGTAGGCATTTTGTGTAGAACTGTAAATGAGGGAGACAATATTTTCATCAACTGTTACATAACCCCTAGTTTCTGCTTCGACGAATATGGTGCGCCAATCGCCAACCCATCATACCATAAGGCCCCCCAAAAAAATCATTTGGTTGTCCTCGACCGCCCGCTCGTCATTTTCGGGCCGCTCGTATTTTTTATTTTTTAATATAATTTTTTTTTTTTTTAATATAATTTTTTTTTTTTTTTTTTTTTTTTTTTTTAGGGGGGGGGGGGGGGGGAGCAATCTTTAATGCCAAACATACCATTTTATGCATTTGCAAGGATCGAAATGCGTCCCGTTGCCAGTTTGGTCTTTTTAGTACGCAATTAGGTTTTTATTAAACTTGCCATTTTAAAACACTTGTCAAAATGCCGTTCATTCAAATCAGGGTCTGAGCATTCTTAAACTCATTTTAAAGCCCATCTGTCCTAGTTTACAGGAGGGATTAGACCACCCTGCAAGGTCACTGCACAGGTGGTTATCTCATCAAATCACTCTCAGTTAATATAAGATAAAGAGGATAATGGGGGACCAATGGTCACCGATTAGGCATTGTTTGCTACATAGAGGGCGCAAGTAGCTGATAAGTAGTACAATGGAGATTTAAAAGGTGCTGTATTTCAAAGCCCAAAATACTTTCTGTGTTGGTCTTGATATTCATTGTACATTAAACTAGTCTTTTACCATATTAAAGTGTTTTATAGACTTTGTTTGTTTAAATGCTTGACAATCCCAATGATTTTTTTTTTTTGTTATGGAAAAAAAAATTATTTAAACAAAACAAGAAAAAAATGGGGGGAAAAAAAAAAAGACACAAAAAATGAAATAAAAAAAAAAAAAAAAAAAAAAAAAAAAAAAACCGCCCGCCCCTACTCCAGAATAGCAATCGAGGACAACCAAACAATTTTTGGGGGGGCCTAACTTAAGAGTCACCACAATTTGATAACTAAATGAACTAACAAAAACCTTGTCAATATGTACTCAACTTCTTATTTTCATTGAATTGACTGAATTAATTTCCTTAAAGGAAACTCCAATCTGAACAGACAACTACTCTAAAAGAAAGTAAAAACATATTAGAGAAGCAGATAAGTGAAAGTGTCAATGAAATCGAACTATAAATAAGAAAGTTATGATATTTTGAAAGTTGTAATAATCACTATACCCATGGGCACTTCAAACTGGCTGAATTAGAAATGTTACCGTAGTGCCGAACGATTTTCCCATTTCTTTCAACACATTAAAAAAAATGTATGACTCAGGACGGTATTTTATTTTTAGAAGACCTATGAAAACATGGTTTTCCATGATATATTTGAAGTAATGCCCCAAGGGAAGAGGGACTTAGGAGAAAAAAAAGAATTAATTTTGTAGACGACTATAACAGGACAGCTGTACGATAAATATTTTGATTCTCATATTCTAAATAGTCATAAATCCCTTATTATTGGTCAATGTTTTTCCAAGCTTTTGCCCTTCTGTTTCTCTTATTTTTCTGCTTTAATTACACAAATAAACGTAATACAAAGGTTGTATTGTCCGTTAATTCGTATTGTTACAAAAAAACAATCGGCGCGCCGTTCATCAACGGACTCGGGTTAAACCAAGTTCAATACAAGCCATGGAACTACATCTGTTGACTCATCCATACCCAATCCAAAGACATGCCTTAAAGAAATCCAAACTTCAAAATGTTCATATTTACGAAAGGCCCATTATTAATCTTCTGCTAGCCACATGCAATCACACCTGCAGCAACGATACTTAATAGTGGAGATTTATTGCAGTACAAAGTAGAAGGAACATACCCTTCCCTTTCGATATAATTCGCGTAGCCGCGGGCACACTGAGGGGCACGTACCCCATTACCCCCCCCCCCCCCTTGATTGATAATGAAGGGGTAAGAGGGGGACGGGGAAAGATACAAGAAGAAGTGACACAACACTCTTCCACTCCCTAATTAATGGGTCTGTTCATTCGCTTTTCATTCACATTAAGACGCACCCCCCCCCCCCCCACCAAACAAAAAGAGGTCTTGCCCCACGATAATCATCGTCCGACATTGAACAGCTTGCTGTCATATAATACTATTAATGTTTGATCCATGTTGGGATGACAGCTTACATGCAAATATCCATTGGGCCTATTAAGTTTTTACCAGGTCATTACAAATATGCTGGTAGAAGAGACGTACAGGTATATGCCACAAAGGAAAGGGAGATGGTAAAGTAGAACAGTATTGATATCATAATATGGAAATAGTAAAGTGTACAATACTATACACGGTTTGGACATAATGTAATACTATCCATGGTGACATAT